TTTTAGAATTTGGTAACAATGTTTTTAAACTTTTCCATAACTTCAAGTGGTGCAATTCATAATTGACTAACACAGCAAACGGAAAATTATAGAGGTGTATAGGATGACGCCACGTTTGAATATCGATTTCTAAATCTCCCTACGGTATAGAGTTGTATTCGTCAGTCGAGCGTTTCAATACTCTCCACAGTATAGAGGTCGTAATTTCACTTTTAAACTAGTATTAATATAAAAATTATTTTATGCTTAAAAAACTATATACGACATGATTGTGATTTTTTTCATTTTATTAATTAATTAAGCTGTGTTGAATATTTTTCCTAAAGGAATAATTGCCAATAGGCCATTAATTCATTTGTTCGTAGATGCTACAATAAAATGCATTGGTGTGTACTTTTTCATCAACCAGATTTAAATATTACAAAATTAACATATACCAGTGGAGATAGTGCAGGGTCTACCAACAGACCTAATTACTAAATTATTAAAGTTTAATAGCATATCGATCATTTTTCAACATAACCTCTTAAATTTTTAATACAAATATAGGTACTTTATATAATACATAAATATACTTAACATCATATCCTCTGTGCTTTACATACCTGAGTTGTTACGGTAAATAAAAATCAGACAAAGGAACCAAAGAAAGGAACTATTTTCAACTAAATCATATGGAGAAATGAGAAAATTCATCCATCAAAAGATCAAAACTTCTTGCAATATTACACCCTCTTTTTATACTCTCAGAAATATTGACTAGAACAGTATTAGAGAGACTCCAGTTTCTATAACTTGGTAGAGTAAAGAGAAGTCGAAACCGTTGCGATATTGCATTGCGCTGTTTTTGTATAATTCTCGGGGACATTAACGAAAATCATTGCCAGTAAAATTCGAAAAGCTTGAGTTTCTATGTCTCTGAGGAGAATAGGAATCCGAAGTTGCTGCACCATTGGACTGAACCCTTTTTTAATAATTTCTAGAGACATATATGACTGCACCATTCGACAGGGTCGAGTTTCTACTCCTCTGTTGAATATAGAAAATCAAAATAATGTATCTTGTAAGACACCATTGAGTTTGACTTTAAATATAGTCGTGCATAGGTATAGAGCCGAAAAATATAAAAACAAAGCACGATTCAATACAGTTATGATAAAACTTTAAGATTTGATATTCAAACGCGGAGTCATCCTATACACTTCTATAATTTTTCGTTTGCTGTGAAAGTTTAACAACAAAATAAAAATCCAAGAATTACAGATTTTATACCATTTTTAATATTTATTATTTTTTTAACTAAAATTTATAATGGTATAAAATCTGTAAGTCTTGGATTTTTAAAATAAATTTTTAATTTTGTCGATAAACTTTAGTGAATTATGAATTGCACCACTTTATTTTGAATAATCTTAATTTTGGGGGTAGGGGGCTGGTAAGGCGGACTGAAAACTAACTTTTTTTCGCAAATTTCAATTTAAATTCTGCTTGCGCACAAATTTTCTATTCAATGTCATTATAAACTAATAGAGGTGTATAGGATGACGCCACGTTTGAATATCGTTTTCTAAATCTCCCTACGGTATAGAGTTGTATTCGTCAGTCGAGCGTTTCAATACTCTCCACAGTATAGAGGTCGTAATTTCACTTTTGAACTAGTATTAATATAAAAATTATTTTATGCCTAAAAAAAACTATATAGGTACGACATGATTGTGATTTTTTTCATTTTATTAATTAATTAAGCTGTGTTGAATATTTTTCCTAAAGGAATAATTGCCAATGGGCCATTAATTCATTTGTTCATAGATGCTACAATAACCTGCACTGGTGTACTTTTTCATCAACCAGATTTAAATATTACAAAACTAACATATACCAGTGGAGATAGTGCAGGGTCTACCAACAGACCTAATTACTAAATTATTAAAGTTTAATAGCATATCGATCATTTTTTCAACATAACCTCTGAAATTTTTAATACAAATATGGGTATATCATCTGTGCTTTACATACCTACCTGAGTTGTTACGGTAAATAAAAATCAGACAAAGGAACCAAAGAAAGGAACTATTTTCAACAAAATCATATGCAGAAAGGAGAAAATTCAAACTACTTGCATCCATCAAAAGATCAAAACTTCTTGCAATATTACACCCTCTTTTTATACTCTCAGAAATATTGACTAGAACAGTATTAGAGAAACTCCAGTTTCTATAACTTGGTAGAGTAAAGAGAAGTCGAAACCGTTGCGATATTGCATTGCGCTGTTTTTGTATAATTCTCGGGGACATTAACGAAAATCATTGCCAGTAAAATTCGAAAAGCTTGAGTTTCTATGTCTCTGAGGAGAATAGGAATCCGAAGTTGCTGCACCATTGGACTGAACCCTTTTTTAATAATTTCTAGAGACATAAATGACTGCACAATTCGACAGGGTCGAGTTTCTACCTGTCTGTTGAATATAGAAAATCAAAATAATGTATCTTGTAAGACACCATTGAGTTTGACTTTAAATATAGTCGTGCATAGGTATAGAGCCGAAAAATATAAAAACAAAGCACGATTCAATACAGTTATGATAAAACTTTAAGATTTGATATTCAAACGCGGAGTCATCCTATACACTTCTATAATTTTCCGTTTGCTGTGTAGTGAATTAATTAAGTTTTATTGTATATTTAACACTAAACAAATAATTTAAAGTCGTTTTTTTCGCGTAAATACCATGAAATACTATGGTCATTAAACTTAACCTTGGTTAATAGTAAGGCATTTTTGCGTTTAGAGTGCGTTCAAAAATCCTAACTATGACGTCACAAATACCAGACCATAAAACTATATCGCTGAGCTAGTTATTCAACGTGGTTAATAGTCTTTCTCTTTTTAATATATATATTTAATATGTTTATGTAGGAATAATGTTGTGTGCTAAACATATCTTCTCCAAAACATACCGCCAACCTTCGTCTTTTTCTTTGGGGTTCCATTCTAAATTTTGAGTTTCACAATAATAATTTTCGTATAAACGTTATACACTGTTGGATTTTAATTATGGTAAACAACAGTGAAGAACTGTTTATATATAAAAAGAGGTATAGAAAAGGTAGGTATAAGAACTAGGGTTTATAGAAAAAGAATATACAAGGTAAAAGAAGAGGCAAAGAAATTTATTTACACCTGTAAAAGCATAGAAATTAAATATAAATAGGTAAAAACACATTTTAAAAATTATAGGTTATGAACAAGTAAACAAATGTCAAATGTTAGAAACCTAACCATGGTTATATGAATTAACTGTGACGTCATGACTTATTTAACCGTAGTATTTCATAGTATTTACGCGAAAAAACGACTTAAGTATAACATTATTGGTGTTTAACATTTTGAAATAATCCAATGACATTGCCTTTAATAATAATATCACTGACTGACTACTATGTTACGATTTGACTCATGACTGACTTTTTTTATTAGGAATTTGTCAAAAATTTGGGGATTTAGTTGGCAAATTCTAGGGACCCCAAATTTATAATTGGCTACATTAAGTAGAATACACTTTATCCTTTTTCTATGTACACTAGTTTAGTGGAGAATATAATTGTGGTTATGTTATAATTATAAGAATATGTTTATAAATTTTGAAATATCAAATAAAGCTGTTAAAAAATGCAATCACTTTACCTTTGATCGAGTCGAGCCGGCTTGGCGCGAATTTTTTATTGCTGACCAGCGTTTTTTTATATAAACCAAACCTATTAATAAAGTTTAATTCGTAACTTGGTACTTCTGAGGTGTTTCTTTAAATAAAATTTAACCAAACTGTCATGGTTTGCAAACAAAACAATTTTAACAATTAACAACAAATAAAACCAATGTTATTTTTTAAGTGTAGTTAATTGTAAAAATTGTTTTGTTTGATATTTTTGAAAAATGTATTAAGTATGGTAGCCGTTATCGACCGCAGGAGTCCTAAATTAGACTTTGAACATCCACCTTATTGTTTCTTGCCTTGTGTCCATCCATGGATATCTTAGGGACGTTCTTTTGGAACATCCTAAGGACATGGGAAAGCGTAAACTCCATGTACGTACATTCAAAGTCCATGGACGTATGTACTTAGTTTGGACCTTTAATGGACGTACAATGGACGTAGTGTGCTGTGTGGGACAACTCCCCAAGTCCAAATAGTAATCCCAAATGTTTGGAGTAATACTAATCGACTGGTCTAGGGGGATTCCGCGTCGTACTTAGTTTTAAGTCGGCGTAATTGTCCCCCAAAAACCAACACCCCCCCGTCCCTCCTCCTATACCCTACTGGGCGTATAGCATCGGCTCGGCGAACCCGAGAATGGCTATTAAAACTTCGCATCTCGCTCTCGAGCCCCAAATAGGGGACAGTACGGAACGCAATAAAAATTAGTTCTGAAAATTTGATATTTCTAATATTTTGCAAATTTAAGGAATTATATAATGTATGTATATATGTAATAACCGATTATTTTTAGATTTGACATGGGTTACCCATGTCAAATCTAAAAATAATCCCATAAACCCATGATGGGTATTTGTTTTTCTTTTGATGACCCTACTATGGACTACGTTTTCTGTAAATGGATATACGCTAGATGCGACAGACATTTGAATTTTAAAGTGCGATAAATGTTTCAAAAACACCCCGCTTCTAAACAGTGCCAATAATTGTTTATCTACTGCAGGAAATGTCCAATATTTTTTGAAAATGAATTGTCCACATTTCACTTAAGATGCCAATTTTCCCAATGTTTTACAACTTTAAACTTTGTATTAATGTCAAGAAATAATATAACTATAGAGCTATTAATATTAGTGATGAAAATCATGATACTAAATGTAGTATCATAATGAAAATATTTAAAATTATGAGTTAAATATTTTTACATATTAAATTACCTATAGGAAAGAAAATTGTTTTTTATTTAAAATAAGGTTTTTTGAACATTAAAAAGCATTTATTTTTCCAAAAAATTAATATATTTGTTGACAATATAATAAAATAAAAAATATTACATTAGGTTGTAACCTTAAATTAATTATAAACCTATTTTAATTTATTTATTTAACCTGAACATTGCTTCAATTCCAGTAACCATTACAATACTTAACAACAATGTCTCTGAACACAAAAAATACCATTACTATTCAGCCTTTGTTTTTGTTTTTGGTTTTTTTAATTTTTTAAGCCCGTCTAAGTTGCCCTTTAATAAACTACTGTACGCTACTTGGAATTTGTTCACATCTTTTTGATGAATTACTGTGGCAATTTTTTTCGACCTAAATTTTGCCCTTACCAAGCACATGTGTTCTGTGGGTTCTGCTAGAGGAGGCCTGCCTTCACGAGGAATTGGGCGATTGTATCCATCATCTAAAAAACATTTTAAATAAGTTTTACCCTAAAATTAGTTGGGGAGTTTATAGACAAAGCACACTTTTATTTTCTACATTTTACACAAAGGTTGTGTAACAAAAATCGTATTTTGCAATATTTTTTTGTATAAAATACATTAAAAAATGCTACAATTTTTGGCAAATTAAAAAATTTATAAAAAATATTTAAGTTCCTTAAAAACTATACGAAATAGTAAAAAATTGCAAATCTAGATAGTGAATAATAGCAAAATTTAAAAAATACAATAGTAGTTGGAGTAAAAAATTTATAGACCCTGCTATCTTTCTACAATATTTTTATAAAGGCTATATTTAATACAAATACTAATTGATTGATTTTTTAAAATCAATATTATGCTAAAATACACAAAAATAAGATAACACTGTTGTCCTGATAAAGAAAGTGGGTATATAGTATATACCCACTTTCTACTATCTACATTTTGCAGTGGCACATGGGTACCCAGGATTCAAACCTGGGGGGCACTATATACAGGGTGGCCGATTTATCTGAAGACATTGAAATATTTCGAAAACTACGCATCGGATCAAAAAAAGTTTTGAATAAAATTTGTTCGCCTGGAAGGGGGCCATCCAATGATACCAGGGTTGGAAAAAAACATGTTTTTTTAAATAAAACAAAAACATGTTTTTTTTGTTTTATACTGTTTTTTTTTTAAACTGTTTAAAACACTTTATAAAAAAAACATGTTTTAAACGTTTAAAACATGTTTAAAACTAGTTTAAAATAATAATGCATAACACTTTAGAAAGATAGGCATTATGCTCCCTCTATGCGTTACTGCTTAAAGCCTATTTTATAAATACCTACAATATGTTAACAACGCATTTACCTAATAGATGGCGGGTTAAGTCTCTATTTTAGTATTGCGCATGTCCTTGATGTTGATTTAAGAGTCAACAAAATGGTCGAAATTAATAAACGTGATATGGGAATTAGACTGGGCCAAAAAAATCAACTATTTTTTTTTTTGAAAAGTATATCGAAAATATGGTTTAGGGTGACAAAAAAAAATTATTGTGAAAGTTTGAGTCAATATTATTAATATTAAGAGGTCTATCATCGCAATTTTAGGTTTTTTTTTCCTGAGCGAGTTTTTGTCTCAGAACTCCCAAAACATTGAGTTTAACAAAATTGACTTAAGAATATTTTTTGAAGAAAATTGAATGTTCTACAAAAAAGGTTAAATTGGAATTTCCCGTCAGATGAACCGTTTTCTTACAATCATGCCTTAAAAATTGGTTTAGTTTTACAATTTGATCTTTTAACTTTGGAATTTTGTAATTAATGTAAAAATCAGTACCCTGAAAAAAAAACGATAAATATTCTTATGGAAAATCAAATGCTCTACAAAAAAAGTCTTTTATCATTTTTGGCTAAATTCACTCAATCAAAAGTTATTCAAGGTTAAATTTGAACTCAAAACGAAATTTTAACCCTGAATAACTTTTGATTGAGTGAATTCAGCCAAAAATGTTGAGAGGCTTTTTTTGTAAAGCATTTGATTTCCCATAAGAATATTTATCGGTTTTTTATGGGTACTGATTTTTACATCAATTACAAAATTCCAATTTAAAAGATCAAAATGTAAAAGTATACCAATTTTTAAAGCATGATTTTAAGGAAACGGTCCATCTGACGGAAAATTTCACTTTAACCTTTTTTGTAGAGCATTAAATTTTCTTAAAAAAATATTTTTGAGCCAATTTTGTTAAACTCAATGGTTTGGGAGTTCTGAGACAAAAACTTGCTGAGGAAAAAAAAATTAAAATTGCGATGATAGACTTCTTAATATTAATAATATGGACTCAAACTTTCACAATAATTTTTTTTTGTCACCCCAAACCATATTTTCGATATACTTTTCAAAAAAAAAAATAGTTGTTTTTTTTGGCCCAGTCTAATGGGAATAGTGTCAACTGTTTTTCTTTGTTAAATACAATTACGTCAGCATATTTTTACGTAAAAATACCTTTCTCAACATGACAGGCAGGAGGAAGGACCCGATTTGGCAACATTTTATACAAGTTGCAGCAAAAGCTGGATCAAAATCGAGTTTTAGGGCACAGTGTAAAAATTGCAAAACTGAAATAGTGCCCTTAGTGGTTCGAATGAAAAAACATATAAATATATGCAGAAAGTCTATTCCTCAGGTTTCTGATACATCCGAAACGGACTCAGAAGACATTTCTGAAAAAGGTAAGTTTATTAATAATTATACAGGATATTCCAAAAAGTATAAAGACTAACCCTAAAAATTTTAGGGTTAGTAGGTATTTATACTTTTTGGAATAGGCTAAAATTAAAGTGTTTAAACATTTTAGCATTTTTGTTTAGTTTAACCTGTTTAAGGGTAAAGTTTATTTTATTATAATTATTAGGCTTACATTATTTAATAAACTACCGTTTGTATTTAATTCAATTAATTTTTGAATAACTTTCGGTCATTAATCTTTAAAAAAAAGTTTTTTTATTTGATTTTTTATTTTTGTTGCACTTTATACCTATTTTATCGGTTATCTCTGAAACTTCCACTTTCAATTTAAGATATTTCGTCCTGAAAAAAACACATACCTATTTTAATTTTTACCTTTTTTACGTCCTAAGTACTTTAAAAATTATTGATGAATGACGAGTAAATTTTAAGTCTCACATGTTTGTTTTTAGGCTCAAGTAATACTTCATCACAGACCCGCAACAATGCCCAATGCAGTTCCGCTTCCAGTATTTCATTATTATCAGATACAGGAGATATTCGCAAGCGCCCCAAATCTCAACTTGACTCATTTGTTATAAGAACAACAGAAACACAAAAAAATAAATTTGATATCCAAGTAGCTCGATTTATTTACGGAACAAACTGTTCATTTAGGACAGTAGAACATAATGAGTTTAAAAAACTAATATAAATCCTGCATCCAGGTTATCAGCCACCAAATAGACACAAGATTGGCAACGAACTTCTCTGCAGCGTGTATGATTCACTATATACAGTAATGAAAAAAGAATTGGCAAATAAAACTGTATGCATGTCTATCGAGGGATGGAGTAATATAAGGAATGACTCCATAGTATGTGTTTCTGTAACTGATATTCAGGAGAAAAATGGAAACGTATATCTCATTGATACCATTGATACAGAAGACAAAAGCCATACCTCTGAATATTTACTCTCCTTACTAGTAGAGTCAATAAAGCGCTGCCGTACGTATAATTGCACTGCTCAGAGCGTTGTTACTGACAATGCTGCGAACATGACTAAAATGCGTGGAGAACTAGCAAAATCCGAAGAAGTTGGCCTGCCAGATATACTTACATATGGATGTTCAGCACATATTTTGAACCTGTTGGCTCAGGATATTTAGGTACCTTTAGTGAAAGAACATATAAAAAGTAATTAAATATTTTAGGAATGTACATTTTGCAGCTGGTAAATATAAAAATCTGGTGGAAAAGCGCTTGTGTTGCCACAAGATGTAAGGTGGAATACACTGGCTGACTGTCTAGAATCATACATAGAAAATTGGCATATATTGTCAAAAATTTGTTCTGAAAACCGGTCTGCCATTGACATTGATATATCTATAAAAGTTCATGATATAAATTTAAAAATGAATGCTCAAGACTTTTTGCTTAAGTTAAAACAAATAGCCATTGCTTTAGATAAAGTCCAGAAAGATGATTGCACAATAAGTGAATCAACTGAAATTTGGATGGACCTATTTAGCTTTTTTAAGGTAGTTGTCGTGCTATAAGCATACCATCAGAAAATTTTAAATTTATGTATACTTATTAAGGACATGACAATACATATATCCTTAAAATTTGAAGTCGATTGACCGTCTATAACCCGAGATAAATTCAATTAAAAATTGGATAATTAACATGGATTGTATAGGCTTTCTGTAGTTCTGTACCAGTTTCTTAGTTTTACAGAAAAAACTAACTGTCAGAAGCTTTCAAAAAACTAATAGTGTTTTAATGTATTTTTGCTGAGTTTAAAAAAAAATAATTAAAAATTTTTGACCGTCCAATTGTTTATAAATATCCGTTTAAAGTTCAACAATTTGTAAAAAGTATACATCACTAGTGTAGATAAAAACAACTTGGCAAGGCTGTACGCGATTATAGATATTATTTCCGCAGTAAATTTAAACGGACTGATTCAGTCTCCAATATTCTCCAATATCTATTGGTTGAGCATAAGCGACGTTGCCGGATTAAAACTTATGAAAATATTTGAAAGTATTACGTAAGGTAACGTCTCCAGGGTACAGTCTTGCGAACAAATTATGAATCACTTAGCTACAAGCTCGTATACTTTTACGGTACGTATAATCTAAAAATTTTTGACAATATTGTACCACGACAACTACCTTAATGAAAATTGTTCTAGTTCGGATTTGGGTCATTTTTTAAAAAGATTTAAAATGGCAATCACTTCAGCACACTACCTAGCCAACTAATTAGACCACCGTTTTAGAGGAGCTAAATTAAGTCAGGAGCAACGAGAGGAGGCTCTTCAATATGCTTCTTTGTATTATCCTGAAACAATGCCCTTAATCATTAGTTACCAGGCGGAGGTATCGCCGTTTAGGTCATACTTATTTTCAGATGCCTTAAAAGAGACCAAACCACTTATTTGGTGGATTGCTTTAAAGGATAATCTAAATGAGGCTACAATAAATCTTGTCCAACAGCTTTTTTCTGCTACTGCATCGTCTGCAGGACTTGAACGCCTATTCTCTTCATTTGGTATAATTCACACCAAACTTCGGAATAGGTTGGGCACAGAGAAAGCCTCAAAATTGGTTTCAATATTTAAACATTTAAACTCAAATGTTAAAAGTGGTTATTTTAGTGACAATGAAGAAATTTAATACATTAATATTTCTTTCTATTTATTTAGTGTTTTGAACTTTTAAAGTTTATTTAGTTTTATTGAATGAAATTCATTCGACATGACATGTTTAGTTTTTTAATATAAATTAAAAAAGTATGTATAATTGTGTATTATTTTTTTAATTAAATTAGAAAAAAAACAATTTAAAACAGGTTTAATTTTTTTTTATTATTTTAACTGAAATTGGAAAAAAAATAAAGTTAAAAACATGTTTAAAAAAACACAGTTTAAAACATGTTTTAAACAGTTTAAAACAAATCTGTTTAAAACACTCTTAGCTGTTTTAAACAAGTTTAAAACAAATGTTTAAAACAATATGTTTTAAACATAACAACCCTGAATGATACCAAAGTCGACCCCTCACCACCACCCCCTGGGGTGGGGGTGGGGGCAACTTTAAAATTCTAAATAGGAACCCCCATTTTTTTATTGCAGATTCGGATTTCCCATTAAAGATTAAGAAACTTTTATGGAAAACCTTTTTTTAATTCCTGATAGATGGCGCTGTAATCGCAAGAAACCCTATTTTTGGGAATATCTTGAAAAATTGCAGATTCGGATTTCCCATTAAAAAATATAATTAGTGTATACGAGAATTGTTAGGGAATTCAAAAAAAAAAAATTAATTCCTTTTGATGTTGGTACAAATTAATAATATTTATACCTTACTAATGCGTCCAGGTATGTACATTAGGGTGGTCCAGAAACGAATTAAAAAAGTGAAGTTGTAAATAGACTTATTCTCACCCTCTAATTTTTTTATATAAAGTAAAAAAAGTTATTTTAGAAAATTTGAACCCTCTAGCTTAATTAGAAGGGAGTGCTCACAGCTATGATAGAATGAATCTGAAGACAATATATCCACATGAAAATCATGGTCCAGAACTCTTAGTAGCATAAATTGCAGCTTTTTTGTGGTTTCTGTCGGAACAGATTTCCGATTCGTTTCTACGATTTGTAACAAGTCTTGCTTTTCGTCCTCATTTTTTATAATTGATTATGCTCTTCAAATAGTTTTACCCATCTTTCTGCTATATCATTTACAACTCGAAGTTTACAACACACAGTCGACCTTGAAAAAATATAAGTAAGAAATAATTTATTGCGTAGACAAAGGCCATATTAATATTATGATTATTATTATTATTATTATTGTTGGTATTAAAATTATTACGAGTTCATTGGATAAGTACCAAAGATGATGTTTCAGAGATTCTCTAGCAACCTCGCTTTTCCCAATCTCCTCATAGCGTTCTAAATCTTTCCAAAAAGTTAGGTCGGACATAGTAGCTTTAGTGGCACACGGTGCCTTGATCCAGATTTCACCAAAACGACCAAAGCCAACTCGATCAGTTCCAAGTAGTCGTCATAACGTTGAGACTTTTGTTTCAATGCAGCTAGCAACAAGGGGATTGGGGAGTTTTTGTAAAATTCAAAATTCTTCGACGATTCTAGGTCTGAGGACTTGAAGCAGATACGATCAATAGGTACCCAAATTATTTTAAATCGATTAAAAATTGGAATATCCGGAAAGCAGCACAACTTGAAAACCTTACTAAGAATTATTTCCAAAACATGATGACTGCAGACTAACCAAAGTAAGTATCTCCCAATTTTTTCTCAAGCAAAACGCAGCATCCATTCTTCATTCCAGTATTTACAGATGTTGTGTCAAAACACATTCCTTATACTTTATCCACCAGATTCCATTCTCGAAGTACGTTTCCGACTTCATTTGCTGTACTTCTAATAACTTTTCTATTCCATCTGCTGAAACTACTACTGATAAATGTTCTACTTTAGTTAAGCAGTGGTAATCAGGAAGAATTTTACCATCCCAATGAACAAAAACTAAACCTTGACAAGAAAAACTTTGTTTCATATCTTTTCTTCCTTTCATGTTTTCGTCTCCGGCAAATAGTGCTGCGAGACGGCATTTCATGCGGATCTTTTCCCAGTGCTATCGCAATCTGTACTATAAGCCTTAGAACTTCACGGTCTGAGACATTTTCCCTATCCAAAGCACTTATGACATTTAAACTGTAAAGTGTAGTTTTTAGTTTCTTAGATTGAACTAGTAAGAAATATATGTTTAGGTAAATAATATTCTTTGGTAATTGTAACATTAATATATAGGGCATAACATTTTATCTAACCAGTAAAAAGATGGCGTAATGTTTTTTTTAAATAAATTTAAAAAAAACTGAAATCTCTTAGCTAATGAGCACTCCCTTCTAATACACCTAGGGGCCTAAAATTTTGGGAATTTTTTATTGATGTTGGAGGTAAAAAAATTGGGGGGTGAGACAATCTGTAAAATCAACTTCACTTTTTTGGACATTGTACATATGTAGGTATATTATAAAAACATATTTATACCTTAGGTACTCATGCGTCTATAAAAACATATGTTCCGTTTTTATAGACGCAACATTCGCAGTTGATTTAGAAATGTACGAGTGAGAAATGAATGCTGCAACCGTAGAAGAAAAAATTGAAATGATTCTGATTTTCGGAGAATGTAGGCGGAATATTGACGATGCTGTTGCCTTATATGCTGAACGTTTTCCAGATAATATTCGTTCTCGCCCGTTTTTTTATAAAGTTGTTCAATCCTTTAAATCCGACGGTAGTGTACAACTTAAAAAAAGAAAACGAAGAAACACTGTCACAGGAGAAGCTAATGAGATTAATGTGATAGCAGCTGTTCAACATAACCCTCATGTAAGCACGGAAAATACATCGGGATCTCGGGATTTCCAGAGATAGTATTCGGAGAATATTGAATCGTCACATCACCCATACCTGGTTTCACTGCATCAGGAAGTTCATGGCAATGATTTTCATCGGCGAGTAGAATTTTGTGAATGGGCAGTTCAGCAAATACAAAGAAATCCCAATTTCTTCGCTAATGTACTATTTTCAGATGAGTCCACATTCACAAACCATGGTTCCGTTAATAGGCATAACATGCACTATTGGAGTGTGGACAATCCCCACTGGTTACGACAAGTTGAACATTAACGTTTGGTGTGGAATTTTAGGTCCTTATTGGTCCTTATTTCATTGATGGAACCTTAAATGGAATCAAATATCGAAATTTCCTGGAACATGAACTACCACCTCTACTTGAGGATGTTGCCCTGCCCATTCGACAAATTGTGTGGTTTCAGCATGACGGTTGCTCAGCCCATTACTCAGCAACAGCATGGGAAGTATTGAACCGTGATTTCAATGGCCGATGGATCGGCAGAGGTGGCCCGGTTAATTGGCCTGCTAGGTCACCTGATTTGACATCGCTGGATTTTTTTCTGTGGGGTTATCTAAAAGATAAGGTTTTTCAACAAGCACCAACAACTCGGGAATACATGATACAGCACATAAGAAACGCTTGTGCTGAAATTCCCGCAGATATGCTCCTCTCCTGTGTACAATCATTTGAAAAAAGAATAAATAAGTGTCTAGAAGTTCAAGGTCACAATTTCGAACATTTAATCTAATTTATTAAACAGGGCAGGGGGACTTTCTTAAAACTAGCACCCCAATAAGAACAAAAAAACTACTGCGTCCTGGTCCTTGTTCTTGGGTAACGTTAAAAATAGATGTTAACTTATTGATATACGAATAAAATCCAAAAATTAAACAAATTTTTCTTTTTTTCGATCCGATGTGTAATTTTTAAGATATTCCCAAAAATCGCGTTTCTTGCGATTACAGCGCCATCTATCAGGAATTAAAAAAAAGTTTTTTTTATAAAAGTTGCTTATTTTTTAATGGAAAATCCGAATCTGCAATAAAAAATGGGGGTTCCTATTTAGAATTTTAAAGTTGCCCCCACCCCAGGGGGTGGTGGTGATGGGTCGACTTTGGTATCATTGGATGGCCCCCTTCCAGGCGAACAAATTTTATTCAAAACTTTTTTTGATCTGATGCGTAGTTTTCGAAATATTTCAATGTCTTCAGATAAATAAATTTTTTAAAATCTTGAAATTTGTTATTGAACATTACTAAAAAAATACTTTTTAATAGTGTAATTTTTGAGAAATATGCAAAATAGATTTTCTAATTATTTATGCCAATTTCTCGTTATAAATATCAAATTAAACCATTTTGTTGTTGTAAAAACATTTGTTAAAAAACTAAATAGTTCTAACAAAAGTATAATAAACTAAAAATGCATAAATAAAATGGTTTGAAAATAATCAACCCAAAAATGTGCTTCATAAATATGTTTAAGAGCTGGTTGAAAAGTTTGAACAAACTGGATCTACAATCAAAAAAGATACCAACCTAGGATACTTAACCCATATTGAGGTTCTTGGTCAGTTTGGAATACTGTACTATTGCTTACTAAATAATGGGACTCCCATTAAGGGAGACATTTTGAGCATTTCATTTAAAGAGCTAAAAATTGAAGTGTTTTGATTATTGTTAAAAATTTGTTTATGATTTTTTAGTTTATTATACTTTTTTTTAGAATTATTTTGTGTCCTCCAATTTTTTTACTAATGTTTTTACAATAAAATGGTTTAATTTATTATTTAATTGTTAAATTTGAATAAATAGATATAAAAATTATTTTGAGTATTTCTCAAAAAATTAAACTATAAAAAAGTATTCTGTTTAGTCCTGTTAAATACTTAGCAAGAGCTTTTCAATAAGGTATCACAAAAAGGGTGCTGTCAATTTAAAAAGTTTAGTTGGGGTGGCTACAGCCACAGGGGTTGCTTAGTTAGGATTTTGAAATGAGTATTTCTCATTTTTGTTGGAAATTAACTGATCTACAATAAAGTTTTAGAATACCTTTTTTGTAAGCATTTAATTCCCTATGAAAATTTATTGGGCTTGGCTTTATATTCATTTATAAGCAAGATACAAAATGTTTCATGTTACCCTGCTTAAAATACCCCATAGAGACCCTGTTCAAACCGATAGATATTTGTATCGGGATGTATGGTGTTTCTATAGGGTGTATCGGTTTGTATAGGACCCGTAGTTGAGATTTATGGTTGTTCTATAGGGATATCCACCATTGATTTATTTGCTATCGGTTTCAATGGGGAAAATACACATAAATGTAGAAATTAGTTTTTTCCCTATAGGACCCTATAGGTTTTAATAAAATTTTGTCAAATGTTTTATGGTTGCTCTATAGGGATATCCCTATATATCCTTCATTGAGTTATTTTCTATCGGTCTCAATAGGGAAAATGTAAAAGTTATGGTGTGCCTATAGGTAATTTCCTATACATTTTCTATCGGGCTGTATCCGGAAAAACCCATGGACAAATGCACATATAGAATCCGGTAGCGCCCGATAGATTATTTTGTATAGGTCTCTATGGGGTATTTTAGCAGGGTACTCATGTGAAAATGGAAAATTGCAATGAGGATGATCTTACTCTTAATAGCTCATACATAGAAAGGCTTTTTTTGAGGTGACCAGTAACCAATTTATTTTTAATTTACAAATAAAATTTGATACAAATAAAAGGGGAAGAAAATAACCAAGCTGCTGATAATTTTAAGAAAAATATATTTATTTTTTGAAAATACCAATCATTTTTACACAAGAAATTTATAAAACAAAATCCAACCCCCTGGGATGTTTCTCTTTTTAAATAGAAAAAACTTTATTTGTATATATTTGAAAATATATTTTATTAATTAGGTGGTGGTGCTGGTCAATATTAGGGATGTCTACTTTCTTTATAAGGACGACAGAATAACATATTGAGCAGTTTAACAAAACATAGGTTTAGTAAAATTAATATTTAGCGATTTATTCAGAATTTTTTAACTTACATCTTTTAAATGTCATACTAACAGAGCCATCCAATCTGGCTTTTTGAAACAATTTGGTAAGTTCTGAGAGAAACTGAAAATAAAATAAGGTTAAGTGAGTAGTTTATTTCTACGATTTAACACCAATGGATAATTTACTTACCGAGTCATTTTCTAACAGCACCATTTTGTTAATAAATATAAAAAATTCCCTTCAAACTTATGAGCTCATTTAAATTTTAAATAAATATGGTTTATACGTCAAAACTGACACCTTTAATCCACGTTTATCTTTGATGCAGATCTCTGCATTATCGACCATGTCATGGAGCCTACACAAGGAGCCCGAACTTAATAGGGGAAATTGACAAAACTTGCCCTCTAAATTGTACAAATTTAGTCTTTTTTACCACCAGCGGCGCTGATTGTCGATGAGTACTGATGTCTGCTCTTCTGGTAGCGTTTCAGTACAAATTTGTCTTCTTCTTCTTCTTCTTAAATCTGAACACACAGTCTACAAATTATTCAATTTTTTTAGAATAAACGGAACACCAGCGCCCTCTTATCTTAGGAAGATTATTGTATACCAGAGATTAACTTGTATACCATATACATACCCTGTGTGGTTGTATACATAAAGTTCGGACCAAAGATATGTATTATCTTTGGTTCGGACTCCTTATGTAGGCTCCATGGACCAAGTAATGACAAAATGTAAATTACAGTTTTCTGTGTTAAAAAAAAGCTTTAAAATACAGGTTTCTGTATTTTAGTTTGTATGGTAAAAAAGAAAATTGTAATGTTTTTTTATCAAGGTTAAATATTTGTCTACGTGTTTTTCACTGTGTGGTGTTTTTGTTTACAAAATCGCCTTGCAAGCAAGTTATCCATATTGTTGTTAAATCATTTTCAAACGAAATTAGTTGCTGAAATGTCGAGTCCCAAGACTGAATGTGAACTTAAGGGGGGCCACCCCCCAGCAGGTGCCAGTTTACCAACACAATTATCCTGCTTACAACTAATAATAATTTTGTTTGTAGTTAAAGCAGGTGGAATGAGAATTACACAGCACAAAACAAGAAAAGATTCCGGCGGATTGGGAGAAGATACTACCGGAATAACCGCAGTTTCCAGCAGCCCCCCAAAAACAACCACAATTTCAGGGGCTGTCACCAAAGGCCATGCCGATTTTCCTGTTGAAGCTGTGCAGAGTTTTCACAAGGAAAAACCACCAGTCTCTCATTCCAACTCCAAACCAGTTTGCCACATCCAACAACCTAGGAAGTAGGTTGTTTTTATTAGGTATGACTATTATTGATTTGTTATGACGATTCATAGTTTGTAGTCCTATTTTTTTTTACTATTATAAAGCATAGATAAAGCTTATCACTTGTAAAACGTTCTAAGAAATAAGTTTATTAAAAATTTCAAATTTTATTAATATGGGGCTTTATAATTTACTTAATAAAACTTTTGTAAAACGTTTCTCTTGTTTAATTTATGACTCCAAATCAGTAGATTTCCATTCAGTCTGTTTCCCTGCCACATCTTTTTTAGATAAAGGCTTTAAATGTGCTGCAGCAACGATTTCTCTACAAATATTATGTAATCACAGATGATATATGATAATGATTTATTTGTTTGTTTATTAACTACCTAAATTCGTCGTAGTTTTTTGACGTGTAACATGCACGAATTTTTGCGTCATTTCTTACCCAGTGCATTTTGTCTCTTTCTATAGTACCTTGCAAATGCTCAAATAATTCTTTATTTTGTCTTTTACTTTCTTTTGACATTTTAGCACTGATTATTGAACTTGTACACAAATATACATGTTAATTTGTTTTATCAATAACTTGTTGTCAAGGATTTTTAAAGTTCAATTGAATGGAGCCCATAGAAGAATTTCCAAAAGAGCAATTTATTTTTTCAGATATCGCTCAAATTGCGGTTTGCGGTTTTAATTCGAGGAATTGCCAAAAGAGCAATTTTCTTTTTTCAGAGTTTGCACTTTTTATAAAAAACTAGGCGCAAATTATTTCTTAAAACCGACCAATTGGCGCTAAAGCGCCCAATATGGCAGCACTGCACTGAGTAGACAACGCGCGCTGCCAACAGAAGAGAAGAGAAAAAATCTCAAACTGCAAAACCATCAACGAGGTACTTGCGTACTTTTTTTAATTCGAAAGTACTGAATTCAGTACAAACGTACTGACGCTGGCAACATACTGCTGATAATTCAACAAAGTGACTAGAAGTACTATGCTCCACACTTCAAAGTCCCACCACTTGACCAGGTACGGAACGCAGTCATTTAAGGCTTTTCAGGTTATGTATCTGTCAAAGTATAGTCAATGAAAGAAATAATATTTATACTGTTACCGTTTATGTTTAAGCGTTAAAAGTTTATAAATCTTTATAGTATCACAGTAACAATGGTTGGTTTCAGAATTTAGGAGTATAAATACTGCATTTAATGAAATTCTAAAGTATATAGTGCCAAATAAGTAAAATTTTTGTGCATTTGGTCTACATAATATGTTAATATATTATATCTGGTTTTATCCATAAAATAGTTTTAACTAAACGGCATTTATTAAAAATATCTAGCTTCTCTATTATGGAATAAGAATATCTGTATCAAAGGTAGGTTAATATATTATAACAAAAAATATCATCTAATTTTAAGGTTAGAAAAATCTAATTTGATCAAAATAAATAAGTATTTTGGATTATTTGGAAGATTGTGTTAATATGGTCATATAAATATAGATATACTAAATAATTGTTGAATATGGTTCAAATTAAATTAAAGCTTTTATACTCCTAACAACAAAACTTGTGCATACCTCTCGGGATCCCTATTTTAAGTTAGATTATAAGGAAACATACAATTTTTAGAGATACGTGCAATGTAAAAATATATAATACTCCCATAACATGTGATTTTTTAAATTTTTAAAAGTTATAATGATTTTTCGATGAAGATAAAATTCAGTTGAAGCTCTACGTAATTGTATTGACAAAACTTTATGTAGGTATACTTTAAGCTGGATAAGAAAGACTACTACAAGTAAAAATATTAGTTAAAACTATTTAATGGATAAAACCAGATATATGTAGACCAAATGCACAAAAATTTTACTTATTTGGCACAATACACTTTAGAATTTCATTAAACCAACCATTGTTACTGTGATACTATAAAGATTTATAAACTTTTAAGTTAAAATTTAACGCTTAAACATAAATGGTAACAGTATAAATATTATTTCTTGCATTGACTATACTTTGACAGATACATAACCTGAAAAGACTGCGTTCCGTACGTGGTCACGTGGTGGGACTTTGAAGTGTGGAGCATAGTACACCGAGAGTACGGGCATTAAACGTACACCGGGTGGAAAAAAATCCTTATTTAACAAATTTTTATATTTGCCAATTGTATAATATTAAATGGTCGCTCAATGGGGCGGGGGGGCAATGGGGCGGGGTCGGTTGGGTTGGTTTGAGTAATTCATATTGACATTTCATTAATTTTGTTGTTAATTGTATTTCAATCACTTAATTAAATTTTAATCAATGTTTATACAACTTGAAAGTTAGCTTAATAATTACATAATTATTATCAAGAGTTAACCACAAAACTAGAACTTTCTAGGTTTGTGGTATACCTACCTACTTTTGAATTTTCCGTCCTAGAGCATCGACCCAATAATTTTAGTGTATCATGCCACCAGGGGGCACCCCCTACATTTTTTTTATTTATTAGCGACTTTTAATAACTCATATTTTGTGCTGAAATTTTAAGACTAATTATTTTTGGTAATTTTTAAAATTGGAACCATAATTTTTTTAAATCGAGGTGTTCTTTAAAGACAGCTCTTAAAACATGATAAACAACATATTTTCATAGAAAAAAAATAGTCGTTTAACTTAACCGGGGTAACGTACCACAGGCAGTGGCCGATTGTTTGGTGCTTAAACCAGCCCATAAGGGATTTACATTTATAAGTTTTATATTAAAGAAAACTTACTATAATTATTATACTTAAGTAATTTTGCGCGCGCGGTATTGTGCCGAGTCACGTGAGCTACTTATAAAACCTTTATAACAAGTTTTGTTACATATAAAAACGCGGCGTGGCAGTGCACTACATGTAGTTCCTTTCTATTTAATTTAATGAACTATAGTTCACTAAAATAAATAGAAACACTATAGTTCGATAAAAATTTCAGAATTGACCAAAATTACCAAATGCATGTAATTTTTTTTTGTTACCAATGACTGATAACTAATAATTATTAATATCCTATTGTATAAAAAGTATAAACATTAGATGACCTTAAAAGCATTATTTAGCATATAAATGTAAATTAGGAGATAAATGTCAACATTTAAGTCGTTTTTTCGCGTAAATACTATGTAATACTACGGTTAAATAAGTCATGACGTCACAGTTAATTCATATAACCATGGTTAGGTTTCTAACATTTGACATTTGTTTACTTGTTCATAACCTATAATTTTTTAAATGTGTTTTTACCTATTTATATTTAATTTCTATGCTTTTACCGGTGTAAATAAATTTCTTTGCCTCTTCTTATACCTAGTATATTCTTTTTCTATAGGTACTAGTTTTTTCAATACACGTTATCCAAATTCTCCTACATGTTTAATACAAAATAAGGAAGAATATAAAACAAACCTGCATATAATTCCTCCACTTGTGGAGATTCCACAATATGGAGCACCCTATCATTTATTTTTACTGACAACACCCCGTTTACCATTTTAATACAAAGTTTAAATTCGGTTTAATAGCAATTGTACCTACTTAAAATATTTTAAATTTCAAATGTAAACAACTTTTTGACAGATCGAAACAGAGAAAAATATATATTAAAAAGAGAAAGACTATTAACCACGTTATAGTTTTATGGTCTGGTATTTGTGACGTCATAGTTAGGATTTTTGAACGCACTCTAAACGCAAAAATGCCTTAACTATTAACCAAGGTTAAGTTTAATAACCATAGTATTTCATGGTATTTACGCGAAAAAACGACTTTAAAAAACAATATATTTTTTAATGGTTATACATAAATAACACTTTATATTAACAAATAATTTATCAACAAATAAATACAAAACTATCTTATAGTAACATTCAACGAATTTTTAGCGGTATCTTCGATTTCTTTATGCAAAACATTAACCTCTGACTGTGTTAATGTTTTTTCCATGTGCCTATAAATAATTCTGTAACAGTGGCTGGTTTTTCCTGTTTTTGGATGTTTAAAATTATCGACTAGGGTGACTTGTTCAACCAAATCCCCCCCAACATTTCTGACTAAGTCATAAAAATCGTTGCTGGAAAAATTGTCCGGATCGCCAATCCAAAAGCTAATATCGTTCTTACATTGAGGAAACTGACTTATAGGCTTATAAATAACGTTTTTATTGTCCTTGGATTTAAATTGGTTTAAAAATCCCGAATCGCTGGACCAAAATAATCGAATATCAGGGATTTTGTGAATGCACATGGCAACTCTTTCCAGTCCAAGTCCAAAAGCCCAGCCAATCCTGTCATTAATACCGGAATTTTTTAAAATACCCTGCCGCATAATCCCGCAACCCAACAACTCCATCCAGTCGCCATTGTGCCATATTTCCAACTCCCAAGATGGCTGTGTGAAAGGAAAATAGGCATCAACCCAACGATATTCAGTTTTTTCACCAAACAAACTCTTTGCTAAGCCTACCAGGGTACTTTTTAACTCATGCTCCATCAATTTCACGGCCTCCAAAGAATGACACGGTTGTTTTTCCTGATTGATACCCACAGAATTTTTGCCACTCTCAAAAATACTTAGATCTTGACCTTCCCTAAAAAGTTGATCCCTTGTTTTCAGCCTGACTGCATCGACTTGATGAAAAACAGGATAATGTGTGCTATCAATTTCGTCTCTCCTGTAAACGTCCCCAACCATAAGGAAATCATTTAAACCAGAAGCTATTAATTCGGTTTGGTGAGCTGTCATATGGGCCCTCAATAAATAGTCTTTATTCACATAGTAACAATCGCTTTTTTTTCTTGAAACATGATCCTTGGGTATTAAAAGGCTGTCGAAATTCTGAGTTATATTCACTATTGGGTTTAAATTGTCGTATATGGAAAACGTTGGGTTTCCTCGGGTGTTCAAAAACGATTTATAAAAATATTCCACGATTCTTTGCCTGACGTTGTTTAATGGATGATGAAGCTGGAGATGCAAGTTTTTACCGATTAATGAAGTTATTTTATCCGTGATGTTTGTGAACTCGTCGGCTGCATATGTGTTTTGCATTAAACGGACGTCTTTTAGTTTGATTTGGCTGTAGTAGCAGCACTGGGTTTTCCTGTAAAACGAACCTTTGCAAAATGTAAACAACATTTTGGATAATTTCGCCAAAAAATAATATTCCCCGATAACTTAACCTCACATTATTGGAACGAAATACATAATGTCTAGAGTCCCGTCAGACGGTTCTCTATTGCGCTCCCGTTAACACTTTTTGACGTCACACACTGTAAATCGGTATTATTTTCTATGTTGCCGTTTGCGGGTATTTTACCCGAAAATCGGGTATTTTCGTCATGCGGATAAAATATCGGTATTTTGCATTTTATTTTAATTTCAATATAATTTAAAATACTAACTAATACAATTTTCAGTAAATAATGTTGCATATTTACTAAATAAACATATTTTTTTTATTTGATCCTGTTAATATTCTTGTTGACTAATTCAAAATTTATTTCATTTTTCAAAATACATTTTGCCCTATTGGGCAAATGCACTAGAAATTTTACTCTTGCGGGTAAAATCGGGTATTTTTTAATTTTTGGTCAGGAACTTTCATGAAATTAATCCGGCAACACTGATTATTTTTCGAGCGATAGGATTCTAACAGAGAAATAACGTAATATAATTTAATTTAACTTTAAAAGTAATTTAATTTAATTTACTTGCGTTCATACAAAAAGTAAGTGCTTAATTTAATAGTGTTTGAAATTAAAAACAATATTTTAAAGAGAGTGCTTACTTAATGTATCTAAAACTTAAAGTTTTAGATATATATGGCTTACTTTGGTAATTACAATTGAAATATTATTAACGCGGTGTCTAGTCTCACGCTAGCGTGAACGCAATTTTATTCTTATTCTCACGCTAACGTGAACGCAATAGAGTAATTGCATCAAAAATGAAAATCCCTAAAAACCTTTTTATTGTAATCTAGAGGTAAAAACACATTGCAAAAATATTTTTTTATATTCCAAAAGTTCAACCCGGCCCCAAAATATCAAATTGAAAAAAAGGTACTTTTCAAACGTTCCGAACTCCCGCCATATTGCATGACGTCATAAGCTACAGCTGTCAGAAATCAAGATGTCAACAAATAATAGGTTCATTCCAACCAGCAGTAATATTACCGTAATATTATCGTCCGTAACAGCGTTAATGCGACTGCGCGAACAAAAATAGTAAAATTATTTTGAATAATGTATAAACTGGTTGGAACCTTTTTTGAACTGGTAGTACTCACAATCAGAAGAAAAAGAATATAACCCAAAACCCACAATTGTATTGTGCTAAAAGCTAAGTAAAGCGCATATAGGTATATCTATTTCAATAAAGTATTAAATATGGCAGGTTTTTTAAATAATTACTTGTATGATTCTTCGGATGACAAGGAATTTAGATTTTATTGGGGACATTGCTACTAGAAATAAATATAACCCAGGTTTGTTGAGTTTATAAATATATATAAAAGTATATTTTAAAAACATCACACATTGATAATAAATTCTTCCATTCCTGCTCACAAATGACAAAAATTAAATGTATTAACATTAAAAATTAATAAAATCACCTTGTATAGCAGTCATTTTTAAATAATATGTCCACTTTAACAGAAAACAAACTTACAATATTACAAACGTTAATACATAAACAAAAAGATGAGGTTATGTGCCCCTTCTACGCATGCGTCTAATTTTATTATCAACAGTTCTTGCTCTCGAGCAAGAATCGTTTGAACCGTAATTTAACTGTTCGTAACTCTGGTTGGAACGACGAACCGACAGTAATTGCCAGTTCTAAACTAGTAATTTTAGTTGGTTGGAACGACATTTTACAAACGCGCATGTGTATCAGTAATATTACTGGAAATTACTGCTGGTTGGAATGAACCTAATAAACACCGATAAAGTTTATGGGACATTCCACGTTACTCGGTAATTTTTGTCCCGCCCGTCACAATTAAAAATTGTGAGTAAAAACCACAAGTTATAAAATTAATATTTTATAATATTATTTTTATTGTGCTTATAACTTATTAAAAGCATAATAAAACAATATTTTTAAATAAATTTTATAACGTGTACCTAGTTTTTACTCACAATTTTTAATTGTGACGGGCGGGACAAAAATCCCCGAGTAACGTGGAATGTTTAACATGGAAAACGCGAAACCAAAAATTGGTTGTAAATATTGTTTTGTGCCTTGTACAAATACAACCTGGAAAACTCCTGGGAAAGTTGTCCCTTCAATTATCAAAAGCAAAGTTTATGACCCTACACTGAGAGTAGTTACGGCTCAGCCGGGTTGAACTTTTGGAATATAAAAAAATATTTTTGCAATGTGTTTTTACCTCTAGATTACATTAAAAAGGTTTTTAGGGATTTTCATTTTTGATGCAATTACTCTATTTAATTTTTATTCTCACGCTAACGTCAAAATAATTTTAATTTTATTTTCACGTTAACTTCGTATAGGTATATAAATACAGCCTTTTGGTTTTTGGTTAAACCTAAGGCTGCCAACTTTGCCCAGGGGCCACGGTCTTATATACAGGTCTTGCAACTTTAAGCTTCGAGGTGGCTTCCTTAACGTGCCAAGCCGCTAGGTGGCGCCAAGATCGAAGGGGTAAAGTCAATTAAACTACTACTTAGTTAAATGTGGAACTACTGCATAACCATAACCTAACTTTTTAAATTCTTTTCTTATGTTTTGTTTACATTTTCAAAAATTTAATATTTGTGAGTTTGTTTCGGATAATTTACGTTAACAAAATAGGACAACAAAGTCTATACTCTATGCACAAAGTCCTCGGCCGTCACATGCCCAGACCAAACATGTTAATGTATAAAATACATACGTATATCATATATATGTTACGGCTAATGTGTAAACATGGATAGTTTATTAAGTAGCTGGGTAGTTTATAAACTAGCCAAACTGTCAGCTATTTTAATAATTATTGAAAACGTATTTTTAACTAAATTAGCGGCTAGTTTGTAAACCAACCAAGGGTCTTGGCTAATTTACTTGAAATTATTTAGGAATAGCTGGATAATTTGTAAACTATCCAATTCAATTTGGCTAATATGAAAACCAAAATTTCTAGTAACACAACAAACTAACCAACCAATATTCTGGCTAATTTATTAATAACCGATTTTTTTATTGTCTTGGCGGGGATGGGTTGATTGTTTATTTAAAATAATATATATTTCACCAGCACGATGTGCTTAATTATATAATAATCATACAAAATGTGAAGGTGTCAATAATATGTTTTTTATTGCACATTGCCATGTTTTTAACCGCTCCTTATTTGTTAGCACTTTAAACATGGACCGCTTAATTTTAATGCCGGAACGATAGCTTTGCTGGTTACATTTTGGCACAACACAGGACTTCATGTCTATTAAAAAGCACAAATACAAATGTATAACAAGAACAAATATAACAAGAAAAAATTGAACAATATAATATAACAATAACGAATATCACAATAACAATAAGTAAAAACTCCCTGTAACAAAATACACAAGCTTGTTTATAAAAATGTAGGTTATGTTTCTTCACAGAACATAAGTAGGTAGTTCATTTGACCTTTATCCCATAGACTTTAAGGACTTAGGGCCGGTTTTACAATCGTTAGATTAAGTCTGTGGGTAAAAGGCATAAGGGGATAAGTCAAAATAAGCAATTTTTTAATAGAGCCTTTAACGTGTTCGCATTAATACGGGAAATATATTTATGTTCAGCGGGTATACGCTTTTGTTAGCTTATGACATGTGCTAACAAAAGGGTATACCCGCTAACCATAAATATGTTTCCTAAAGTCGTTTTTTCGCGTAAATACCATGAAATACTATGGTCATTAAACTTAACCTTGGTTAATAGTTAAGGCATTTTTGCGTTTAGAGTGCGTTCAAAAATCCTAACTATGACGTCACAAATACCAGACCATAAAACTATATCGCTGAGCTAGTTATTCAACGTGGTTAATAGTCTTTCTCTTTTTAATATATATATTTAATATGTTTATGTAGGAATAATGTTGTGTGCTAAACATATCTTCTCCAAAACATACCGCCAACCTTCGTCTTTTTCTTTGGGGTTCCATTCTAAATTTTGAGTTTCACAATAATAATTTTCGTATAAACGTTAAACACTGTTGGATTTTAATTATGGTAAACAACAGTGAAGAACTGTTTATATATAAAAAGAGGTATAGAAAAGGTAGGTATAAGAACTAGGGTTCATAGAAAAAGAATATACAAGGTAAAAGAAGAGGCAAAGAAATTTATTTACACCTGTAAAAGCATAGAAATTAAATATAAATAGGTAAAAACACATTTTAAAAATTATAGGTTATGAACAAGTAAACAAATGTCAAATGTTAGAAACCTAACCATGGTTATATGAATTAACTGTGACGTCATGACTTATTTAACCGTAGTATTTCATAGTGTTTACGCGAAAAAACGACTTAAATTAATGCGAATACGTTTAAGGCTCTACTGAAAAATTGCTTTTTTTGACTTATCCCCTTATGCCTTTTACCCACAGAAGTTAGCTTATTTGGCGGATAACTTTCATAGAAACCTTCTATCTAAGAAAATTATCCACCAGAGAGCTTATCTAACGATTGTAAAACCCAAAGATAAAGAAGGTAAAAACGACCTTTAAACATCTATGGTTCACCCTCAACTCGATGCGCCATCTGGTGGGTGTCTCATTAGAGAGGTCACTTTTCCTATTGAAATTGGGCGAAGTTGCAAGACCTGTATATAAGACCGTGCCAGGGGCGGTTTTAGACATCTACTGAGGGGGGGGGCGAAAATAGAAAAAGCCCATGTGTAGTGGACATAATTCTGCCAGCATTATTTTATTTAATTTTACTTTTAAGGTGTCGCACACTGGTCCGAATCGACTTATTCTCTGGCCAAAACTCGAAAAGTGAATGTAATAATGTGAAAATTTGTATTTTAGGGTTATTGGGGTCGCTGATTACGAAATTAATATCAAAATTATTAAATTCAAAATGGCGGACTTTTTTAACAAATAATTGGTTAATCGTTATGAAAATGTTAATTTTTAGGTTTCTGGGGTCGCTTATCACAAATTTTATATCAAAATTATTAAATTCAAA